AGTAAGGTCACAGTGTGGAAAGAACAAAGTTCGTAGGAAAAATGTAGGATTAATGAGGCCAGAGGAAAAGTAAGCAAGAGAGAGCTTGATTTTGTAGCCTAGAGCTGAAGGTAGACCTTAAGGGGACAGATTCTGTTTTTTGTTCCCCAGCCATAAAATGTCCCTGAGTTTGAAAGAGATATCTCCATCCAGGTGACTCTGCATAATATTTCTTTCATTAATTGGCATACAGTCTGATTTACTTCTCCTAGTGAACAGCTGTGTTTCTCCTTTACCCTCTAGACCTCTTTTGTCCACTCTGATTTTGCAGTCTTTCGCTCACCTTGCAAAACCAACAATGACTATTCAAGGTGCAAGGACATGGAAGATCAGGCTAATTATGATATGAACCACTGCAAATGTCAGATTATGTAAAGTTGTAAAGTACATGGGCATAAACTCAGCTTATGGAAAACCACATTACAACAAATCAAAAAGGGATTGGGACCTACTGCATGTAACTGTTTTTGTGCCTGCTCTCACTTCATGGTAAGCAAAAGAGAAATCTATGGTAGCTTACTCTGGCTCAACTACACCAATTAGCATTCACTTACTGTAAACTGGGATTAGATATGCAGACAATTATGCGGACTAGATGGCACATGGAAAATCCCACCTACCATTTAATTTGTTTGTACATGTTTTCAGGGTAATGAATTTGATTTTTCTTGGATTTTGATTAACACTAGACCAGGGGCAGGCAATTATTTCGGGCGGAGGGCCACTTACTGAGTTTTGACAAGCCATTGAGGGCTACATGACAGGCAGCCAGGGCCAGATAAATATTAATTTTCTAAATTTTTTAGTATCCCCACAGGCCAGATGGAATGGCCTTGTGGGCTGCATCTTGCCCACCCCTGCACTAGACTAAGTGAGAGCAGCTCTGACTCAAAGACTACTGCTTGAAAACAGGATCTCTCCGCTGTTTCTATAAAAGGTACAAAGCAATGATTTCTGGTTCTAAATCATGTGGAAAAGTCACCACAGTTAGCTGTGGGACAAGAAATGAGAGTAGACTAGCTCCTTAGGAAAAGCATGATAGAAAACCAAAAACCAGTTAACTGGGGTTTGCCTTGTCTAATGTCTATGCCAGGAGCCTGCTGTACATGCTCAGAAAAGCTAGAGCTCCAGGCATCATAAAATACCCGGCTGAGCAAAACCAGTCCACTATCCAGTTTAGAATCAAAGATGTAAAGGTGGTCTAAAATCACCTGTCCCTTCAAACTGCAGCAAGGAAACTTGAGGTTAGATAATGGGGGAAAGTTTTTCACTAGAAGGGTAGCACAGACAACGTGTAGGGGAGGCATATGTTCCCCCTGAGATTGGCCGGCCAGAAGCCGCTGGTGCTTCCGGAGTTGGCGCTCGGCCACTGGCACCCCGCTAGAGTCAGGAGACAGCAGTCGCCCATGGAGGGTAGTAAAACACTGGAACAGGTTATCCAGACAAGCTGTACAATCTCCATCCTTGGAGGTTTTAAGATAAAGCCTTGGGTGAGATAATCAAGTTGGGGCTGGTCCTGCTTTGAGCAGGGGTCGGACTCTGTGACCACCGGAGGTCCCTTCCAGCCCTAGTTTTTTATGATTCTTGCATGACTGGTGAACCAGCCCCCAGATCAGGACGCTGTCGGCTTAAAAGCCAATGTCCTGTTATGATGTTGAGCAGACAGCTGAGATGAAGTTAAGCGACCGTGTCAAACCATGTCAACGTGCGGTCACTGGTGGGGGAATCACGTCTTGCAGGGTACCCCTCCCATGCAAGTGCGGTAGACCTCTCTCAGGCAACCCTTGTTAGCTGCAACCGTGAGGAACCATGAGCAGCAAGCACTGCTGGCTACACCCACGGGTGCCCTCGCTTCGGGTAACAGGGATGGAAGAGGCCGCAGGGGGGCGTCGCGGGCCGGGCCGGGCCCCTGCGCGAGGGGAGTGCTCCCCAGAGCAGGCAGAGGCCGCCTCGGCCCCAGCTTCGCAGCCGCTCTCTGCCGCCGGCCCGAGGCCGTTAGGGAGGCGGCTGTTGTCAATCACGGGCCCGCGCCGCTCTCATTGGCTCGCGGAGCCTGGCGGGCAGGGGCACCGCCGCCTGCTACCGGGGTAACGGCTGTAACCGCCAGCCGGGGACTGGGGAAGAGCAGGTCCCTTTCCCTTTCCGACCATCGGCTCCCCCTCCCCCCCCCGCCTCCCCATCCCCCTCGGGCGTGAAGGCGCTGTACGGCTGCGGGGCGGCAGGTTACCGAGGTTCTGGTGCCGGAGATGAACTCTCTCCCGAACCGCTTCCTCAGTAAGCACCGCCATGGCTTTCAAACACTGCGCATGCGTCGTGTCCGGTTTACCCCGTCCGCCGACCCGACTGCTGATCCCGCCGGGGGCGGGGCCTCAGCTGCGAGGGGGCGGGGCGAGCATGCGCATGCGCAGGGTGCTGCGGCTACGGTCCTGCAGCACTTGTGTTCGCAAGCGCCTTGCGAGGGGGTCGAGCAGACTCGGTCCTGGGTTGCTTGTCCGTTGCAAGCCCTGTCCCTGCGGTCCGTGAAGTGCTGTGCGCGCTTCGTCCGCGCCTCGTGTTAGGGCTGGACCCCGGGGCCGGCCCGCTGTAGCCGTGGTCGAGCCTGGCTCTGCTTGCCAGCTCCTTCTGTGAGCTGCTGTGAAGGGCCCTGGGCTGACTTCAGGGCAGGGCTCTGGTTTCTGTGGACGGGTGGGAGGCAGGAGCCTGGCTGTCTCGAAAGGAAAAAGGGTGTGGGTGGGTCTCAGGCCACAACTTTGGTTCCCGGGCTGTTTCATCCTGTCTGGCTGAGCTCAGCCTGTCCCACCTCCCTGCAGGCCCAGGGAGTCCAAGGCCCCCTCCCCATTGGCCAAGCCTGGATGATAGTGGTGCCAAGTCTGCTCATAATAAGCAGAATTGGGCTTTTTTTTTCAAAAAGTTGCTTTAATGTTTTTTGGGCTGCAGGGTTGATAAGCACCCCCACTCCCCTCTCTTTAAAATGGGTGGGCTTGTTTTTAAAGGCAGTGCCACTTTTTTTCCTCACAAGACTTGACAGCGCTGCTGGACGGCCTGTGGCTGAGCAGGTGGGACCTCTCGTCTGCCAAAGCCTGATGGGCCAGCACATGGCAAGGAACCAATGATTCACCACCTAGAAGAGCGAGTGAAAAGCTCAACTTCTTAAGTTAGTGAGGCGCTCGGCTGGTACAGAGGAGGAGGCCTAGATCCCTGCTTCTGCTTTTTGTATTAAATCATCAGTAGAGAGCAGGGGATAGAAAAAATCCTGAAAGCGGGAAAAGAGCCCAAGGGCTCCCAATCCTAACCACTCCCTTTTCCAGACAGTTTTTCTGGCCCTATGAGTCCTGCATTCTTTGCTACTCAGTGGTCCAGCTTTGACTGGAGGCAAAGAGGAATGCCTCTTCATGAAACCTAGCTTGTAGCATGCTGTTTAGGACACCAAGGAACAGCTTCAGCTTGAGGAGGGCATAGAAATGTATTAAGTAGTACTCTACCATGCTTGTAGATGGCTAACGGTGGTCCCTCTCCTCAGGTGTGGGTTGTAGGCCTGTATCTGCAGTGGGGAAAATGCCTGTCTTGCACTTTTGACTTGAGCTCCAGAAGGAGGTGGGGGGTCAGCCACACCCCTATACTTAACATTTCGTGTTGGCTAGCTTTGAAGGTGACTCCTCACACAACATACAGGTCTTTGGATTGCCCTTCTGAGCTGCTATACTTTGGCCGTACACGTTTATGAGGTGTAAGCAGCTGACTTTGGGTTTTGGATTCAATCATAAAAGTTAAGATATTTTATAGGTGCCTAACTCATTTTATGGATTTGGCTTGGGAAAGGCATTCCTTTTCTTTTTTTCTTTCATTGAATAAATTGATATGGAAACATTGCACCGTATAAGATAGCTGACACTTTACAAAACTCATGGCTCAAATCTTCCTATATATGGGGCATATTTATATAAACTGTAATCGCTTTAATGCTTCAGCTTTTCCTGTTAAACTTTTTACTGGGATTTGTGAAATTCAAGATTCAGTGTTATATGGAACAATGCAAAGTTTGAATTCACTGTCTAGACCAGGGGTGATCAAGCTTTTGGCCCTGTGTGGAATATGAATGACATGGGGTGGTGTGCGGGCCAGATTGAGCCCCACATGCCTGGATAGGGCGCCATGGGACCTCAGCTAGCCCCCGTGCATTGGGATTGGGCTCAGCACTGGTTGGGCCCTGGCACTACCCCCATGTGCTTGGATTGGGCCCTTTGCTGACCCCCGCCAAGCCACAGTTGCTGGGATTGGGTGCCCAATCTAGTGTGCAGGACCTGGGACTCCCCATAGTTTTGGAAATTTTGGCAGCAGGAGAGCATTTTCGCCCCTTCCCCAATTTCTAGACCCATGGGGAGCCCCGTGGGTTGGATGACATGATGCTGGGGGCTGGATATGGACCAGGGATGCAACACTTATGGTCTAGGGCAGTGGTTCTCAGCTTTGTTAGACTCAAGGCACCCCTTGGAAAATGGCAACTCTTAGTTTTCATATGTCTTTTGACTACAGAAAGATGATGCAGGAATTCTTCTTTTGCAAAGAAATAGCACAACAGGTCAGAATGTTTTTGACACTGTGAATTTTTTGTTTGAAAACTCTGCTTTTCTCTTCTGAGTTACACATAGATGTATGCATATCTAATATTTCGCAGCACATACCACAACACCATTAAAAGGATTTCATGGCACCCTGGTTGGAAATCAGTGGTCTAGCCAAATACTACAAATATATAATTTGTCTATTTCCTATGGTGAATTTTTATAAACTATTAAAATAATTTGTACAACAGTTATTAGGTAAGATAAGAAAATAAATGTTTTTGTCAAAAGATTTAGAAGAAGCTTTGATAATAAAGAATTATTAGGCAATACATACTAATGACATAATTTTTTATTAGTAAATTATATCGGGTATATTGGAAGCAGAGTTACTGAAAAAAAATTTATACGAAACAGTAGAACGTCAGAAATTCATCCAGTTGATTATCTTCCCAATTCTTCCAAAACAAAATCTTAAAGAGGCTTTTATTGGACACAAGATTTTCTGAATGCATCAAGATCAAGGCACCAAAGTAAATTGTGAGGATGCCATCACCCTGTGGCTAAACTATCCTATGTAATTTTTGTTGTTGTTGCAAATATCTTCAAAGATACTGGAGCAGGGAAAATAAACAGAACTGTTGAGATGATTAATTAAATTGTTCATCATAAACCAGTGGTTCTCAACTCTTTTAGACTCAAAGCACACATCAGTCGGCTCAAGGCGCCACCCAGAACATGCCAGCTTTTAATTTTCACTTGGTTTTTTATTACATAAAAATAACAGAGCAATTCTTTTGCAGAGAACTCAGAACCACCAGAGCAGGTCAGAATGTTCTTAATATTCTCCATTCCTATTTGAAATCTTTGGGTTTATCTTGTGAATCATGTTTGCCCACCTAACAGTGGGGGCATGATGATTGAGAATCACTGTCATGAACAAAACAGTGGGTACTAACAAGTCTATTAGTAGTCAAATGTGTGATTTTTCATAACATGGAAATTGTTACCTCTCGTGTTTGTGATGGCTAAAGGAACTGTCAAAATATTAGGGCTGTGCGAGGCTTCGGATCCGGGGCTGCTTTGGATGCTTCGGTGTCCAAAGCAGCATGCCCAGAGCGAAGCGCGGGCTCAGTTATGATATCCAAAGCACTTTGGAAATGCTTCGGATGCTTCAGATGCTACAAGTGAAATTTAGAAGAGGGAGGGAGGGAGAGTGGGGGTGGCAGGGGGTACTGACGTGTAGGTGGCCAGTGAGAAGGATTTCTCTCTGGCTGCCTTTCCAATGACAGCGTCTGGGTGGAGGGACCTTGAAACAGGATAAAAGCCTCTGTTTGCAGGCGTGCTGTGCCTTTCTGGCTTGTTCCCTCTCAGGAACTGCATGAGAAAGGAACCCTCAGACTCGAGCATTTCAGCTTGCTTGCTTTACTCAGTAGTTGAACTTGCCTGCTCCTTTTTGTTGTTAGAAAGGATTGGGTAGGACTTAGCTTATCTTAGCTTAGTGATTCAATTACTATTACTGTTACTGTTCAATTCATTTCTTTGAATTTATATTTGCTCTTTTTTTGTGTGGAAACTTTGAAAAAAGAAAGCTGTGTTTTCCCTGCCAATGTGATCCATCACTGTGCAGGGAGGCACACAGATTGCATGCATGTGCGCACGCGCGCACACCCCCCCCCCACACAATATAAAGAAGAAAAATCAGATATTCATAGAAGACAGACAGACAGCACACAATACTCTTAACACTGAAGCAAACAATCAAAGAAGAGTCCAGTGCACGCGCGCAACAGAGGGAATAAAACACACAATACAAAAGGATTGACACACGCATACAGACCTTCTGCAGCACAAGAAAGATCAATATGAAGCATGCTGGAAAGGCAGGTGCCAGGTCTTCTGGCAGGGGAGGGAAAGCAGGGGAGGGGGAGAGCTAGAGCTGCAAGCCCCCTGTCCCCCTCACACACAGATGTATTCTCTTCCCAAGCAGCCATGACATCAGTGCTGCCAGTGGAAGCAAGGAGGTGGGAGCAGTGTCTGCAACTGACATC